TGTAAAGAGAATATGAATAAACCAATGCATAGTAAAGTTGTGGAAACAAAATAGACAATGAGGCATTTAATGTGATTATGTATTGTTTTTAATGCGTTCGGCACATGAGAAGCGCGACATTTGAAACAGGCCTAAAGGCAATTTTCCATTGCAGTCACTTTGCCCGTGCGGGCGGAGCGGGTGAAAATCTGGTCAAGCGGGCGTGACATGCTTCAAAAACAATGAACGCTTCGGCCGCATGGGCAAAGCGAACGTTAATGGAAAACGGCCTTAAGGCCTGTCTTATACGTCGAATTTTGGTCTCGTCGAAATGAAGAGAATACATAATGAGATGAGAAACCAAATTATGAAGCTTCATTATGTATTGTTTGAATGACATTGGACGCAATCGAAATTATACGTGTAAAACAGGCCTAAATAAAGCAGGATAAAGGCAGGTTTGGCAATTGGTATAATGATTAAGATGCTGTTGCGGCTGATGCTGCAGCATCTCCCAGCGGTGTGTGAGAAATGGCATTATTTGGAGTTAAGGCCTTAGTAGGCACATTTTCGTTCACAGCCACTAACCTAAAAACCTATGGTGAAAAAATGTGCGGCTAGAACTATAAAGCATGTTACAGTGGAGGAAGTAATTGTATGACAAATTTTTATTTGTTCTGCAATATGCACGGCCTGGACAATATTTTGTATGACAAGTTTTTATGTGGCAAGTGTCATTTGTTTGTCTAGAAGTGCATACACATGCATGTGCGCAAATTGTCATTCAGTGTGGCTCATTGGCTGTATACGCAGGATTTTAGTATATGCCTTTGCCTATGGCTATGCCTGTGGGAAAGGAAATGTTACATACATACTACACTATCGAAAGTTAACGTTTTGCTTACCAGTTGGAAGAACGATCACCAACCAAAGAATACTTGGCTCCCTCCAGAACTGCACAACGTCTATGGCACCATGACCAATGCAAAAGGATATAAGAGAAAGGAAACCCAAAAGCACGGTGCTCGCTTGTTGCTTTAGACCTTTGCCAAACAATGTGCAGACCTAAAAATTTGAAAGGATAAATAGTGGATTGAGAATACTTTATGTTTCATGACGATGATTAAATTGGAAATGGTTTATAAGACAGAATGGATTGTGGTTGCTTACCCTGTGCAATTTTTCAGGCAAATGAGTCCAGTTAATGTCGTGGTCGTAGCAGGATTGTAGAGCAGTGTCTAGAGATTGTAGATGATTGGCCATATCTTTCACTTTCAGGTGAACAGCAAGTGTTGTATTGAGAAGTAAAGCAGATTATGCAGTGTAGTGTTGGCTTTTGTAGCAGAGGTGCATGTCAGCTCAGATGTCAGTAAGAAGTGACAAAGAAGTGAGATGTTTGTGACGTTGTGAACCGGATTTGTCAGTCAAATAGTGACATGCATGTGAGAAGCAAGACAATAACGCGCAATGTATATGTGATATTTAATATGGGATGAGCCACTCCGCACAAATGCACAATGATGTAAAGAATAAAACCTAACCATAACGCAGACTATAATACATGAACCGTAATTCGTGTCATTTCGCTGTTAATAATCATTTGCAAAAGGGCAAAAAATTTGTGGAGGGGTTGACGTTGTGAATCACACTTTATTTATGAAGTAGATGTTTCTAAATAAAATACATTATTTTGAGTTTGGGAAAATTATCACAGATTTTTATCATCAGTTAATTACACGTAGTTTTATCGTTTTGCGCATTGCGGAAGTTAGCCTGCGTTGCAGACGCTTCGTATTTCATGATGAAAGGGTTTAAACCCTTTCATAATGAAATAGGACGCATCTGCACCCAGTAGCGTAGCTAGGAAAAAATGATTGGTCATGCTATTGGCTGAATTAAAAAATTAGGGCCTCTAGATCGTCGGAAACGGCCTTTTCAGACATTTATCTATTCATATTCATATAAAACATTTGGGCAATTTAGCGTCACTCAAACTTAATTTCCTGCTTTCTGCGCGGTGAAACGTATGGAAATTCCGCAAATTCATATAATAAACTCCATACAAAAAGCAAAACAGCTTCAGGAAAACACAAAAACATTTTATTTCAGCATGAACAGCATTACTAATTACATTACAAATAACTCAAACGAGTTATTACTGGCTCAGATTGGGTGCAAACTGCAAACAATAATCAAAACGTTATGATGCTGCACTAGAACGACACTCATCATTTCCAACGAAAAAGAAGTACATAAAATCATACAATAAGCCATAGACTAATATGTAAATGCGAGACAAACTTTCTGTACCGGTGAGGTGAAGACTGGTGCAATTTTCTGTGCAAGTCTAATTAATATAGAATAATAGAGATAGTGAAAGAATAACATGGAAATTATGTGTCACCACATGTCATCACGTCATGAGCCACCACATTTGAGTGGATATTTGCCATATAACACTGGTCATCTAATAAAAAAATAAAACTTATAGTAAAACAAATATATGAAATTATATTTTGGAGTTACCACATTCAAGTGGTTATCTCCCCAAAAAGAGTTATTTCATGGGCTCACCACATTTGAGTGGACATTTCCCTTATAACTCTGGTCATCTAATAAAAAAATTAATAGACCTCATAGCAATAAAAGATATGAAATTAAATTTTAGGGTGACCACATATTCAAGTCAAGTGGTTATCTCCTCAGGAAAAGTTATATCATGAGCTACCACATTTGAGTGGATATTTCCCATATAAATCAGGTCATCTAATAAAAAAATAAAAATTATAGCCAGTAAAATATGAAATTATATTTTGGGGTCACCACATTCAAGTGGTTTAATATCTCCCCAGGAAGAGTTTTATCATGGGCTCACCGCATTGAGTGGATATTTCCCTTATAACTCTGGTCATGTAAATGAAGTTATATTTTGGGGTCACCACATTCAAGTCAAGTGGTTATCTCTCAAGGAAGAGTTATATCATGGACTCACCACATTTGAGTGGATATTTCCCTTATAACTCTGTTCATTTTATTAAAAAAAAATAATAGACCTTATAGCAAAAGCAAGATATGAAATTGTATTTTGGGGTCACCACACTGAAGTCAAGTGGTTATCTCCCCAGGAATAGTTATATCATGAGTCACCACATTTGAGTGGATATTTCCCCTATTGCCTGTATTCTAGCTAAGAGCTCACTCACACTCAATGAGTGGAGGTTCGATCTGAGCTTCTCTTGAGTGCCATTGCTGTTTTGGCAAAGCTGGGGAGTTAGTGTCGAACCTTACTATGTGACTACTCACCCTCCACCTATTCAAAAAAAACATTGACACTCAAGGTAAGCTCGGATTAAACCTCCACTCATTGAGTGCGAGTGAGCTTCTACAATACAGGCGTATAACTCTGATATTGGTAATTATGGTAAAAGAAATATTAAATTTTATTTTGAGGTCACCACTTTCATGTAGATATTTCCCCTATAAATCTAGTATTCCCTGATATAATTTCAAGGGATTATAATAATGCACCTATCAATGGTAAGCCCCTGAGGGGGGTCGGGCATATGTGGGGTATTTTATAATCAATTGCATCCCCACCCTGGGGATTTTGATTAGCATTTTGGGCCTGAGTTGAGGCCCTATCAAGGGTGTAACCCAGGTTGCTTGTCACTCATTTTGTAGCTGCTTTGTCACTTGTTTTATTGCAATAAGTGTCACTGTCACTTTTGACCCATAACACAAATCACAATTTCTCGCTTTTTCCCAGTCAGAAGCTGTCGTTTGTCACTCTTGTACATAGTCTGTCGCCACCATGTTGGTCATAACCCCTTGGTGGGCCTCTGAGTTAGGGCAATGTGAACCAAATGACTTTTATTAATATAGTATTTATTGCAATTTATTGCAAAATGGTGAAGTATTTGACCAATATTTATTGGCCGACGGTGGGGCATTTGATTGAAAATTTGCTCAAAGGATCAAATGCCCCAGTACCCCACATATGCTCTAACCCCCCCCACCTCTGGCATTTAACATTGATAGGTGCATATTTAACATGGCCAGCAAAACATTGCCTTCTTGGTTATACAGTAAAACTACCACAAAGCAAATCTTTCTTTGTGTATCAACTCTCCTGAGAGCTTCTATCTCCAGTGATCGATTGTAAATTCGGCATTGGCCGTTGTGCTTATACAATTATATTTTGCTCGCCTTATTGACGAGCAGAGAATTTAAGGTTTCTTCGGCATATCACTTATAATATCTGCCTCTGTGGAAGCTGTCACGCTTCCTGAAGCCATTAAAATGCAAATTAATCAGTTGACACCTGAACGGAGTAGTCGACTAATTCGAGCGTGAATTATCTCGAACAGAAAGACTGTATCAAAGGACAAAGGCTCAAGTCATGCTCTGGAAAATTAGCATGACTAGATGTTGCAAAACAGCGCGTTTGAGCATGCGCAGTAGCCATTATCCAATCAGATTGCCAGTATTTCTACTATAAAATATATTACTTGGTCATGCTGATTTCAGAGGGCATGACTAGACCGCGAAATGCGTGGAACATGCTGTACACACGAAATTCACACGAACTCGCCACGTTTGTTGCTAGGTAACCTATGCAAATGAGCAAGATTTTGCCGAAAATGACATAATATAGCGAAATCGTGTCTAAAGTACTTGTGAAAATTTCGAAAAGCTAAAAGATTTGAATTTGAATTTTGGCGGAAAAAAAATCTTTATTTTTGGGGAAATTTTTGGTCATGCTCAGCATGACCAGCATGACCGCTAGCTACGCCACTGTCTGCACCGCAGGCTATGTGGAAGTAGGCTAAGAATTAAAATGCCACCTCGCCTTGGGGGAGAAGCGGCGTTTAATTTAATAAGAAAACACTCACAATCGCTTTTCACACTTTTCAAAGGTGCTGTGCGGCGGGTTAAATAAGGCGTTGGGTGGCTTGAAGATTTGCCGTGAAAACATTGTTAGCAATATTCACTTGGCACTGGTGCATATAAATTTCCAAATAATGTCGGTTGGTCATTCGCTAGATAGCAGAATGATAATGGGAATGAATATAGACTTACGGGATGAGAGTAACATGAACAACTTTGTGGCCTACGTTCTCAACTGCTGCAAAGAAAAGATTAGAGAGAAACGACTCGAAATAGTCTCTCTTCTCGATGGAGACGTGTTTTACAACATAGACAGTTGGCCAAAAGAACTACGTTTAATTCTTTGGAAGAAACCGCTTTCGGATAAAGAGACATGCAAACTGATATTGTTCTTGGTAGGAAACGGTTGCCCCCCATTGATTGCATACAAATGGATTATTACATCTACCTACTGGGGCAGGGAAAAAACAAGAAAGCGTTGGGAACAAATAAGATGGATTAACCTGAATATGGAAAGAAATATGCATTATTGGTTCTATTATGATATGTTTCACAGCAAACATTTATATCTCAATGGTGACGAGAGACAATTGTAGAAAATCCTTCAATGCCAATGGGCAATGGAGAATTGTAGTCAATATTGACGGTCACCAGTTGTTAATGTTATGTTATGTTATGTTTAACAAATATAAAAATTTTCCGTGTTGATATACAGTTATATCAACACGAGTGGAATTGGGAAAACGAGAAATTGTACGAGTTTTTCCAACTTCCACAAGTGTTGATATAACTATATATCAATACGGAAAAATGTTTTATATTTTTTTTATAATATAGCAATGTCAAAAGCCCGAAGGATGAGAAAAATTTTCGTGTTTACAAGCGGCGGAAAATTTCCCGTGTTGACATTGAGTTATATGAACACGGCTCTTAGCCAATTAGCGTTCAGAATTTACAAATGCTATATTATAATATGTTATGTTAAGTATGATGTAAAAGTAGAAAAACTTGAAAATATGTTTGATAACCTGAATGAACATGAATGAACATATGCTGCAAATACAATTATAGAATAGGTTAGAGATAATGTTGAATAAATTATAGTAGATGTGAACTATTAGCAGTTTTTATATAATTATATATTATGGTAGAGGGACGTATTATGCGTCTGGGCTCATTGTGCGTGCTGTACTTTATTTGTCTGGTATAAAGATGGGACAAATAATGAGATCAATAACCGGGGACAAATAATCAGATTAATTTTTTTTTTTTTTTTTTTTTTTATTTCAATATGACAAAAAGAAAAATTAAATTACAAACGTACAAATACCACACATAGATACTTTAAAGTGTCAGGAACCAACAACAGGGTTAAAAACCCCAATAACAGTGGCCCATTATAAAATATAAATAAAATAAAATCAGCAACACTGTGATTGCTTTACTAAAACAGAACAGTTATGACATTTTGGACATATAGTTTTCCAAGTTCTTGGATTGTCAGTGTCATAAATAGTTTTTAGACAATCTTTGTAGTATTTCAATAGACTATTTTTAAACTGACATAAAGTTTCTAATAATCGTATGGATGATGGCAGTTCATTCCAAATTCTAGCAGTTCGAATAAAATAACTAGATTGATATGTTACTGTACGTACTTTTGGGATATCAAACATTAAACCTGATGAAGGATTACTTCTTCTCGTTACACGTAATGGTTGTTTAACTTTTAAGAAGTCATGCAACTTTAAAGAAAGCATGCCAGATGCCAACTTATACAAATACAACACATCCAAATATTCATGCCAATACGACATTGGTAAAAGATCTAATTTTAAGAGCCGGTCTTTGTATGTAATAGTAGTATCATATGGTAGGCATAGAATATACTTTGTTGCTCTTCTCTGCAAAGATTCCAATTGCTTGATTAGATGTACTGACTGTGGAGCCCAAACTTGCGATGCATGAACTAAATGATTTCTTACTAACGCCATATAGAGTACTTTCCTTGTATCAACGTCATTGAATCCTGTTGTCCCTCTTCTAATGTACCCCAAAGCGTTGTTAGCCCTCTTTGGAATTGACAAAACATGCGCGTCCCACTTCAGATCGCTTTTTATTAACACCCCAAGGTCTTTTTCACAGTTTGTTTTTCCCAAAGGTAATCCCCCAAGAGTATAAGAAAATGTAGTAGGCTGAGTTTTACGATTCACACTTACTATAGTACATTTCTTACTGTTTAAAAGCATTTTATTTTCACAGCTCCATATGGATGTTCGGTCAATGCTAGTTTGCAAGTCCATACAATCCGATGTAGTCCTGATAGTTTTATAAATCTTAGAGTCATCGGCAAACAATACCATCTTTGCATCCGAATTCTCCATAACGCTGTCAGGGAGATCATTGATAAACATGAGGAACAAGAGGGGTCCCAAAATCGACCCCTGAGGTACACCGGAGAGCACCGGCAAAACCCCCGAAGTCGATCCAGGGATAGTTACCTGCTGACGACGATCAGATAGATAATTTCCAAACCATTTCAACAAATTACCGTCAATTCCAAAGCCACTGATTTTATCCAATAACAAGGAGTGGTTGACTTTGTCGAATGCTTTTGCAAAGTCAAGATATATAATATCAGTCTGTTCTGCACAATCCAAACTTCTTCCAATTTCGTCTATTACTTGTAACAGATGGGTAGTACAAGATTTTCCTTTCAGGAAGCCATGTTGGAAGTTATGTAACTGATTACTAATATGATTTATAACTCGATTAAAAACACACCTTTCAAAGATTTTCCCAATATTTGACAACAAAGAAATGGGGCGATAATTTTGCACATTTGAGGCAGGACATTTCTTTAGAATTGGTACAATGTTGGCTAGTTTCCACTGTTGTGGGAAAATTCCAGTGTGCAATGATTTATTAAACAGAAGACAAAGGGATTCCGATATTTCTTGAGCACATTCGTTTAGGAGTCGAGCTGGAATTTGATCAGGACCTGTGCCTTGGAGGGATCTATAGATAGTAACAATGCTTCCACTTCCATTTGATCTAAAACAATTTCAGTGAGTGTAGTAACAACAGTTGGCCTAGGATTATCACCCGCGAGAACAGGTTCTTCCGATTTATCAAAAACCGAATGGAAATATTCGTTGAACAGCGTCGCCTTCTCATCAGGTGTTATAGCAACTACATTGGCATCCGTATGTGTTCCAATTAATTTCAAGGGTAATTGTGATGCCTTCGACTTTATTTTAAAAACAGACCAAAACCTTTTGGGGTTATATTTCAATGTTGAACATATGGAGAAAAAATACTCTCTTCTTTTACGTTCAATAATGTTCTTAACTTGTTTACGTAAAGTCGAAAATACAGTCCAAAGTCCACTTGAAAAATTTTTCGTTGCTCGCCTTCTGATGGAATTTTTCTTTCTTATTAAGCGCAATGTTTCACTATCAAACCATGGGGGAACGTCTTTTCCTTGAAGGTGTGTTACTGGGATAAAATCAATAACAGCATTCATGAAAACAGTTTTCCAATTGTGCCAATCGTCGTTAATATCAGCCCCAACATCATTAAAAACGATATGTTTTATATTAAGCAATCTCAAAGCATTCCTCAGGCCATCAAAATCGCCTTTCTTATAGTTATAAACAATACGCTTACTCGTGTATGACGTCTTAAAATTTCTTGTTATGTTGAAAACAACCCCAGAGTGGTCTGTATGTATATTCATATTAGCCGGTTCGATGACTTCAACATCAGAAACTCGACTTTCGTTATTTGTCAACACAAGATCAAGAATATTAGATCCCCCAGTAGGGTCCCTCACCATTTGATAAAGGAAAAAATCATCAATTATCTCACAAAAAAGCAAGGCCTGAGCAGGGTTACTTGATTGAACTGGATAATTGGTGTTCCAGTCAATATCAGGGAAGTTAAGGTCACCTACGATTATATATTCGTCGCAGACTCTGCTCGCGTATGTTAAATATTCCCTAAATTTTTCGAGCCATAATGAGTCAGATGTTGGTGGTCTATAAACAACCGATAATAGTACATTTACCCCACTTGCACTTGTTAAGCGAATAGCAAATACCTCGATGTTGAACATATCATTGAGCTTATCCATGACTTGTACGTCACCAAAACAAGATCGTATTGCGAATACAACACCTCCTCCACATTTGCCTCTGTCCCTTCGAAACACTTGATAGCCATAAGGTAAAATTTCATGATTCTCGACGTCGCGAGAAAGCCACGTTTCAGTCACTGCAACAACATCAAAGTTGTTTGCATAAATATCATTTTGAAAGCAGTTCATATTAAGCTCGGACGTAATTACATCTTGCTCGACGCGATGAATACTTTTTAGGCTTCTAGCATTAACCAGAAAACAACTTAGATCTGACATTCCCGAAGGAGAACACGGTCCAGGGTTAGGAGAGATGTCCCCACAGAGTAGAATCATCAACATAAATTGAACAAAGCCATTCCGAGGATAGAAGCCATACTTGCATCCAGGCGGATAATTAGCTGCACGAAGATATTTGTCTTTAAAACTTGTCCATTTAAGACAATTTAGAAAAGACAAAGGTCGAAATCTCTTCTCGGACAAGACCTTGTTAAAACCCTGCTTTTCAGCTAGAGTCACACTCATAAGTATACTAATAAAGATGATTATAACGAGAAGTGAAATATTCACACCCGCCATTGTTCACACGAAGCTAACTGAAATTTACCTAGACAGTTGGAAATTGCATGACACAAATGTCAATCAAAATTGTATATCATTATAGCAATGTTTAGGTCAAAGGCGAACCGGATTTGACTGTAAGGCTACAGGCTTGAAAATAACACTTTCAACAGTGTTTTGGATTCTGTTTCGAAGAAGACTATAGCAAAAACGATATCTCAAAAGAGGCCGAAGTTATGTTGGGCGAAAGGTATGGAAAGTTTACATTGTTCGAGACAATTGATTAATATAATGAAATATGACACTGTTTGACCTGTCAAAAGGTCATAAATAGTTATACAATTTCGCTAAAACTATATTTGACTAAAACTATCGATAGGTATTAGGAGATATTGTTTCACTGAATCGAATGGTGGTATTTTTATCTACATAGCGTGCACCAAACTGGAGATATGAATCGGCAAAGTGTGATAGTATGTGCACGTACTACGTTTATAGGGGCCTGCTTTTAAAGAGTTAAAGGGCATCAAATTTCTGAAGGTTACAAAAAATAGATATGACACCAATCAGAGCAATGCTGTATACCAGATTTGAAAGTGGAAAAACAATCCCTGGTACAAGGAGTTATCATAATTTTTCTCCTCTTTCTGAAGGGGAAGTTAGCTACAAGAGGGTTAGTGATGATGAAGCTGAAGCTGGAAAATTTAATTTTTTTGACACTGTGATGACTGATCAAGTTTCTGATGTGAAGGTCATGAAATTTATCGCCTGCTAGTATGACTCATTCTGGTAGGTTGGATTGGTTCAAGAAATAGACCAAGAACAGGAAGACATTCTTGTCAAATTCATGCACCCACATGGGCCAAGTTTAATAAACTTTACATGGCCAACAAGAGACGATAAATGTTTGGGCAGACCTGGAAATAGTGGTGGATCCTGGGAATGATGTTCATAGAAAATTTTTTGATTGCTAGAAAGGATTTTCAATTTTCTTTGGCAGAAAGTTTTGAAATTTATTTTAAAAAATTATCCATAAAAATCAACAGAAAGATTTAAAAATTGCCCTGTCTAAGGAAATTTTCTTATAACTGAAACTGTATATCAGCAGGGTGTTAGCCAGAAGTAAAAAAAATCCGCGTTTACCCGAAGTTGGGAAATTTCTTTTAGCCTGAACCCAGGCATTTCTTTGTGGGTCTGGGGGCAAGCGGTTGCCCCCCCCCCCCCTCTCGATTTTTAGGATTTTTGTATCTTTGAAATGGCATTTCCCGCATTTTGGGCATTAATTTTGAGCCAATGTAGTTATAAACATGTTTTTAATGGTGTATTAGGCCAATGGAATTAAGGTATCAGTTTACCGTCACCTGCCCCGCATGGGTCTTGGGCACCCACATGAAATTTTCATTATTTCTTTTTTTTCATTATTTCAAAATTTGCAAGGCAAAGTGAATGATAAAATTGTTTTACATAATACATCATATAAATTACACACAACGCTTGATTCAGAATTCGTTCGAAATAAGTCCAAACTACTGTGGCTGTACTGCATGCATCAACAATAATAAAATAGTTTATCGTCTCTGATTTGCTATAAAAAGCTATTGGTATTAGCCAATCATGGCTTTAGCATATTTCACACTTACAAGGCGAATAAATCACATGAAGACGTCACAGAGTCGAACACATGTACATAGAATATTAAATGCAAATGAAGCTCATTCTTGCATATCCAAAAAGTAAGTATTTTTACTTAATATGTTTTATAATATGCTAATTTTAATATGTATTAGCATGAATAAAGATTTAAGTAAACAGAATCTACTATTAATATGGCATTTGGCTTTGTGGATGGCAATTTGTTTTTACCATATTTGTCGATGGACTGTATTTAACATTAAAAAATTGCAATATTTGTAGGAATTGCATGGTTTAATACAATACTAGCTTTTTAGAATTTTATTTAGCTATTTAGAATTTTATTTATCTATATAGTGGTTTAAGATTCCATTGTAAAGCAAGGAAAAATTCTTTATTTCACACCTAATATTTGGTTCACTAGATACTTTATATGTATTTATAATAACATCAATATCATTGAATATTTTTTAATATAATAAAATTCAAATATACATACAAAAGTGGACAAATACTCCTTCATTGTTTGTAGCTTCTGTATATTTTTTTAAAGATATATACATTTTTTATTGAACTGTGCATCTTCCCTAGTATTAAAATTCATGCAAAGAATTTGCTATTGAATAATAGACCATCCACGATATAAGAAATACAACATTTTTTCTTTGCAGTGTAGATTTGAGGTAGAAATCATGGTATCGATTAGTGTCAGAGTGGTTGAAGAGAAAACTGTATTACTAAAATGGATCTTTTTTGATATGGAGCCTTACCTGTTTTTGACTTATGAAGATTTATTGAAGAAAATGATGACATATGTAAGGGTGCCCACTTGTGCTTTGCAACAGCATCATCAACATTTTCGTGCATTGAGGAAATTTGGGGAGAGCCAAATGTCAATGTAATTGACATAAACAAATCTTTTGGAATGAGATTTTTTACCCTTATGTTACACAACATAAAGATGGCTGTGCATGTCAGGAACTAACTGATAAGGAACCTACTCAACGAAATGCCTTTGACGTGATGATGGAGAGTGCCAGAAGAGTAGCATTGCATTAGATGCAGTGCCTGTTCCAATTCCAGAAAGTAGTAATTTGGACAAGATATACAATGCAGTGCTTCCGTTTTGCCTTGAGAATGGAAGCACATTTCCAAGTAATAGTTCTGCCTCAGTTGGAAAGACATTTATTAAACATCTTGCTTTGTTGTTATGGTATTTAGATGGTCATTATAGTAAAATCAATGACAATGTCAACAATGAAAACAAGGTGCCGGAAACTTTTGTCAAGAATTTCAGTGGTATCAAGTCACCAGAATTATATAAACATCGGGAAAGGCCAATGTTAATCTCAGAGCTGAAAGGCTTGAAAAATTGTGCATTCCCTTCTTTCAAGATGAATCTTGGAAAGACACAAGTTTCATGGTCTTTGGGCTCCTTAGTAGCATTGATGAGTATGTTCTCTACCTGCGCAAGAAATGTAAATTGGTAAAATTTGGGCAAAGTACGCTGTGGCCAAATTTTGAAGAAAAAGCAAATGTTGTGGTTTTGAAGGCCAATACTGCAATAAAGATTCAAGCATTAAGGAATCTGGATAACAAGCTCAATGATACTGCCGTGTTTACTCCAATCTGTGTAAGAGAAGAGTAGTGTGTGTATAATTATTATTTTTCCATGGGGGTGTGGGAACCGAGAAAAAATAACTGGAAATAGTATTATGTGAGTGTTGTGAATTGGGTGTGTTAGGGCATTGACTGGGTCTGTACGGACGGGGGGAACTTTGTGTGTCATGTGGTTTTGTATAAGATTGTATTATGTGTGTGGTGATTGGCTATTTTTTCTTGGTTCCCACACCCGATTCGTCGGTATAGCGACGGTCAATGAGCACATCCGAACCCGAAGCCTTGATTGACCGAAGTGATTAGGATTTGAAAGTGCGCGCCATTTTATGGTTGGTGGGATGACGTCATGGTTGCGGGCTGTGATTGGTGCAGGGGGTGGACCAATGGGGAGGCGGTATTTTGGAAATGACGTCACACTCACATTTCACTAGATCGTTCAAGCTGAACGGTCAATGATTTTGAAGCTCCGCCATAAAACTTTGAAAAATATTTTTATGAATTAAGTTATGGCAACTAAAGCACTTAAGAATGAAAACTAATTGCTACGATCAGAGATTCAAGACTTAAAGAGTCAATTAAATAAAGTCAGTCAAGATTTAAACACACAAATGAGTATTGCAAAGACGGCCATTGAAAAGACACAAGATAACGCCAATCCAAATCACTTCGAAGGCGAAGAACAATCTAAAGCTATAGAATTTTTGAGTAAACAGTACGACGATCTACATGCTTTTCGCAAACAAGCCAGCCAAGACCTTAATCGCATCGACAAAAATCTAGATAAGGTCAGCAGAAGGTGTGATGAAATCGCCGAAGCAATTGAAGCGAGCGAAGAATACAGCTACCAGTATAATATAAAAATAACTAATGTACCTCAAATCAGTGAAAGGGAATCGGCAGAAGCTACAGCTAAACTTTGTGTTAAGCTATTTTCAGCTATGGGCGTGGAAGATGTCTCTCTTCAAGACATAGATATTGCACACCGCGTTCCTCATCGCAGGGCTTCACAGTATCCCGATGCAATAATATGCAAGTTTGTTCGACGACTTGCAAAAAGAAAAGTCATGGCTGCTCGTAAAGAAACGTCTAGTGTAACATCCGAACAGCTTGGTATCGGAACGATCAGCAATCCTGACTTTCGAGTGAATATATATGACCATCTAACTCCCCGCCTACAATCACTT